CTTAACATGGTCGCGCTCCGCGGAAAAAACCGAGGCGATGAACCCCTTGCGATCCTCGTTTAATTGGCATACTTAAGCTTGCAGCTTTATGTTTTGTTTCCAGGCCAGAGTTAAGTAGTTACGGTAGGTTCGGCTAGTCCTTGTAGCTGTTTTACGGATTGATTGTGGCTCGGGAATTTGGTTATGCAGTTGTTTGTGCGATTGTACGGTGTGGATGTGGGAGGGTTTTGCTTCCTCGTCTAGTATCATCAATGTTTTCAATGTTTTTACCGGCCTCCGAAAACCAATTCAAATATTCTATCATCCGGTGGAAACCTCTTTGCTTAGATTGTTTGCTACCATGTTGTGCTGGATTGTTTGTGACTCAGGGAAAAGAAGGGAAAGAAAACGAAACTCCCGGCCCGGCTTCACCCGGTGCTGGTGAATTCTAAGCAGAATACTACTGCTAACCTAGCTTCCAGCTTCACAGTTTGTTGTTTTGATTAGAAGGCTTTATTTCAATCAATTTAGCCCCGAACGAGTTTGCTCAGCTCTTTGCATTGTAAGTCTAACTTAAAAGGCATGTGATTATGTAAATATAATTGATTAAAGTCCCATGAACTCTCTCTGGTATTTGCGAACGTGGTCGTTTATTGCATAATAGACTGCCCTTTCTGCCGAGCAGCCCAGCCGTTTGCTGTGAGTGGAGTCGTTTCCGCGTTTATCCCACCGGACGCTAATAAGCTGCTCCCTGATGATTGTTTTTTGTTAAGCCGTTTTTTCTTGCTTTGAAGAGTTGAGTCGTCTTTATTCCCACCGGAGATATCCCATACGCTCCTGTTCACGTGGGTTTTGTTGATTTTGATATAACGGGACACAAATGCCTTCGAAACCTTCCGAGAGATCTGCCTCTCGCATCGGCCCATCGATTGTTGACCCGCCCAACCCCAAATGGAAGGACGAGTCACGGCTCCTGGTGGGCCATTGAAAGAATAATAGCGTCGAGGCGTTTGGTGGTGGGCGAGGGCACAAAGGAGGGGAGAAACGCCGCCCCGCACGCCCGCAACATCCGCCCCCGAGACCCGGTAACCGTTGTGTTCTGGTATTTGTGTTGTTTTTGTTTGTATGTATGTTAAATACAATGTTTCAAGATAAAAAAACAACCCCCGCCGCCCACTGAGTTCGCTCTGCCTGTGTTGGGGAGAAACTACTAACCTGGTGTTTTGCATTTCCCTCTGGGGGAGGACTGTTGATGAGACAGGTGCTGTTGGGTTCAAGGGGTAGTTGGCAACTGCGGGGGTCCCTCCGGTTTCCTGTTTTATGTTAATATAACCCATGTGCAACTGACATGTGGTTGTGTGGTTGGGTGGGATGGTTTAGTGAATTGTGGAAAGTAATTACACCTCCGTCGAGGAGATTAATTTTCTTACACAGGTTAGCATTGTGTGGTGGTGTTTTTGTTGGGTTTCAGGATACTTCACTTATCCACTGCCCCGCACCAACGCTCTTCCAACCGATGGCGCATAGGATGCCTTGATGCTGATGATCTTGTGGTGGGCTTCTTAAAGTTTGGGTGACAGGCTCTTTACACAAGGGGCTTCCAGGGGCCGTTATTGTCAAGGAAGCTCATCAGGATTGGAGATGGGTGTTTCCGGTGGGTCAAACCAAATCAAAAGACCAGTCTTGCTAAGGAGGTGGTGGTCTCCCTCTCTTACACCCAGAAAGAGCGCAGGGCAAGGGCCCCTTTCTGAGATTTGCATTTTTCAAGCTCAAAGGATACCCACGGCCCCCTCGGCTTCTGTGGGGGGAAGGGAACAATCATAGATTGGGCCAGGGGTGGGTCCTCATCAGCCTCCGTTTTCTGACCCGTGTTATGCCTGCTTGTTGTGGGGGTCTTTATCTGCTCGTATTAGGATCAATATCTCGATCAAGCATATTACTTACTTCACTTGGCATGGAATCGTCGGGGGTTTGGTTGTTGTGTGTGAGGAAAAAGAAAAATAGGAATGGTAAACAATATCACAGGGTGGCGAAGTAGACAATTAAGGAGAAGTATTTGTATATTACGATGTGTAAAAGTTTTAGTATATCTGCCTAGGCTACGCACTGTTTCCGCGCTCTCCTCTCTTCTGACCCCGCCGCCCCTGACAGCACCATTGGCTTGGCTTTCTTTTTTTCTTGCCGATACAATCCTTCCTCGTTGGTTGCCAATTGGGGTGGTTTTTTTTTTCGGTATTTTTATGTTTATTATTGTGATCCTTTTTTTATTAACCTCGTTCGTTCTCCAGCAGTATCGGTGGTTTCGGCGGGCGCCCCAGGGGGCAGTGGAGGGGCAGGTTGTTTTACCCACGGCAGCTGTAATGTGTTCAAGTTCAGAAAGTGCGGGGGGTTTTCGCCCTTGCCGGGCAAGAAAGCACTTCTCCCTATTAATATTAAAAAAGCCACAACACACTACAAAACACCAATTCTGCTTCTTTTGCTTAACATCACTGCGGTGCGCTGCCTCTGTCAGCCGACCGTGGCGGAATGTTGAGGGGATGTTTTGTTTGTTGTGTGACTCTTTCTCGCCACCTCCCTCGCCCACCCACAAACTCTAAAGTCACTGGGCCCGCGGGTTTGGACATTCGGAGGTGGAGAAATAAATGCTTTAGGGATAAAATGGGAAAAAGGGGGAGAATATATAAAAGAAGGGGGAAAATGAAAAAAAAAATAAAAAAATAAATGCTTATCTAATCCACGACGAAAAATCAATCGCCTTATTCCCCCCCACCATTCCTTGACGTCTCACAAAAACAGTCAACAAAAATATTCTGCTCTGCGGCGCAAGCATTCATATTCATTCCAAAATACGCAAGCCCAGCTACATTCCTACAAAATTTTCATAGTATATACTCCACCCATATTACTTACATACTACTGTTATGCTACACATGTCATCTTTTGTACCAATTTGTTTCACATATGTTTTGCCTTAAGTATGATCATGCCTTCTGTAAGGTCTGTTAAAGGTGTTTTCTGTTTTGTTTGTCTGCCCTTCGCATTTCACTCGCTCATTTCTCGATTTGTCGAAAACTATAAAAATTTTTTTATTTATTTATTTATTTATCCAATAAGGGGTGGTGATTGTTGTTTTTTTGTAGCGCTTCGTGAGCCTCCACGTTCCCCGACCGTTCGTATTGAGGGAACCCAGCGATTTGTGTTGTTTTTTTTTTTCAGTCTCTCTCCGGACAAACCTGGTTGAGGCTCTCGCAAAAAGAGTCACAGTCTTTGAGGTATGCGCTTCCTCGGTTCAGGGGTTACCGTGTCGTACGTTTCGTCTTGTAGTTTAGCGTTATAGAAAAGCCCTAGGTTAGCCACCTCGATTGGCATGCATTGAGTTTATTACGCAACTCACTCTGTGCGTGACAAGTGTGTAGGCGTCTGTGTGCGTAGGATGAGACTTCAACCTCCCAGTGAAGTGTGTGAGTGACTGAAGGGATAGTGATTTGTTGGGGTTGGGTTGTTCATGATTGGGCATTATATGATGATGACTCTATCTTGCAGTTCGGGCTCTCTGGGATGGTTTTCGGTTCTGGTTACCAGGAATTGCAGGCTCTTCTCTTAACGCGTTGAGTACCTCTACAGCAGGTAGTGGACCCTCCCCACTAGCCCCATTCGGGGACCTTGCCCCACCTAGGTACATGAAGCAATCAGCAGCCGCCGATCCAATTTAGATCTTGCTTTTGCTCAAGTCACTTGATTTTGTAAATGACATTAAATACGATTCGCCTCTTGGCGCTAGCTACTGCGTTTGCTTGTCTTTCCAGTGTACCCTTATCAGGCCTTGCCAAGCTACTGCCAGTTGGTATCCAACATTTGGGCCGCGGACTTCCAAGCGGTGCGGGATAAGGCTAGGTCATCGCCTTGTGTGATATCTGAGACCGACACTGTCTACCTAGCCTGGGAAAAACTTAAGGCTCACCTCGTCGACATTTCTGCACTTCACATCCCACTGGTAAAAAGAAGGGAATCGAGAGCGCAGCCTCCGTGGATAGATTCCGCGGGAAAGGGCCTGCTGAGGAAGCGGTCTAGATGCTGGCGAGCGTACCGAACCGCTCCGTCGAACAGCATGTTTGACAAGTATCGGTTGGTTCGAAATGACTGCAAGCTTCATCTTAGGTTGGCCCGGCTTCAGTATGAAAAGGGCTTAGCTGATACTGCCTCGAAAAATCCCAAGCAATTTTTCGCTTACCTTAAACGACGCTGTGATGCAAACTCGCCCATACCACCATTGCTTCGAGGAGATGGGACGCATGCCTATAGCGACTATGACAAGGCATGCGTGCTTGGTGAGCAGTATTCAATCGTCTCTGTCCGTGAAACAAATACGCCTTGGAAAAAGTTGGCTTCAAGAATCTCTTACGGCAACCAGCTGTTAACTCTCCGGAACGATGTCCATCCGTTACTGGGGACTAAGCGGGCGTGCCACTGTTTGCCACTGTGTTCCTTTTCTTTTCTTTTTTATTGCGGCACAATAGCTGAGGTGTTTTCCACCTCCAGCTAACTTGTAATGATGATGATGAACTGAGTCCCAAGTTCTCCGGTTGCTAAGGGAGGTATACCTAACTAAGGCTTTCGAGCCAGATTCTGTTCACCCAAAATTGTTACACCAATTGGCAGTGGAACTCCATGGACCTCTGACTTGTGTGTTTCAGAAGTCATACAACAGCTGTGTATTGCCTACCGAATGGAAGGAGGCTGTTGTCTGCCCGATTTTCAAGTGCGGTGACAAAGACCTACCGGCCCATTACAGGCCGGTCAGCTTGACTAGCGTGGTCGTTAAGTTACTTGAAAAATTAGTACGAGATATAGTGAAGAACCATTTAAATATGTTTAACTTGCTTAGCGTCGAGCAACATGGTTTTCGCAAAGGATTTTCGTGTCAGACGAACTTGCTGGTAGCTCGTGAGAGCTGGGCTGAAGCCGTAGACAGTGGACATGCAGTGAATGTGGTGTTCATTGACCTCGCCAAGGCCTTTGACACTGTCCCCCATTCGCGATTCTGATTGAGGTTGAGGTCGTATGGAATATCTGGTTGCGCTTTCCAGTGGGTGTCAGCTTTTCTGGATGGACGGGAACAGTGTATTCTTGCGGGAAGCAGTCTTTCGTTTCTACAAGCTGTACTTAGCGGCGTTCCGCAAAGCTCTAGAAAGGGTGTTGCGTGTCGGCACTAGGTTGGTCAAGGGATTACGAGGACAAACGTACCCCGAACGCCTACTCAGTTTGAGGATGCAGTCAGTGCACTATCGAAGGATTAGAGGGGACCTAATCCTAACCCACCGTATTTTGACTGGGAAGGTTGGCCCTGATTTTTCTTGGCTATTTAGTCCTGCTAGATTATCTGGTTTCCGCGGACATTGTATGGAGCTGGACAAACCGCGGTCCGATCGAGTTAGAGCGGAGACACGGTTATCGCGTCGAGTCATCGAGCGCTGGAACCTGCTTCCAGAAAAGGTTGTCAAGGAAGCTACGGTTAAGGGGTTTGAGCGTCAACTAGGCGCTCTTGGGTGGCAACACGAAACCTTTCCTTTTTCCTGACTAATTCCCATCTTCATACTTCGATTCTATTTTTTTACTTTTCCTCGCCGTTGGTATTATTCTCATCTTTTAACTGATTTCCCTTACCTCCTTACCTTCGATTTTTCTTCCTCTCTTTCTTAATTCACGTAACTGACATAGCAGGGACAGCTAATGTGAGGAACGTGGGCATTAAATTGGTGAACCAGGGTGTTTTTCGGGTGTTTTCCTTTTAGACCCTTCAAGGAGTCGAAGCACCTCTATCAACTCCTAGATCGACGACCCGCTCAAGAAGGAACACTTACGGGATTCATCCTATCGTTCCAATCCCACTTGAACTTGAAGTTGAAGCGAGTTCTAGTGTTGGGCATGCCTACAGCGGTATCCCTCAAGATTCGGTACTGGGTGCATTGTTGTTTCTTATGTTTATAACTGACCTGGCTCCTCTTCTTGAGGATCCCTGCTATATCTTCGCAGATGACTTGTAGCTAGTCAATACGAGAAACCGAGCGACATTGGCCAAGGACGTCATCACTGTGGTGAATTGGTCAAGTCAATGGGATCTACCTCTGAATGTCAATAAGTGTCAACTATTGACCAGTACTGGCAGCGGAATTGCAGTTCAGTCTCCTGCAGGATCTCTATCATTGCGGTGTACTGATGAAGCCCGCGATCTAGGTGTCATCGTAGCGAACAATTTTAAGCCTTCGGCACAGTGTCGCCTTGCTGCCAATAAAGCGCGACAAGAGTTGTTTCGTCTCAGGAGAGCGCTGAGCGACACTAAAGCAGAAGTATTTTTGCCGTTATATAAAGCAGTGGTTAGGCCACATCTGGAGTATTGTGTTCAGGCCTGGGCACCGGAGTGACGTCATTTGTATAGAAAACATTCAGAAAACTGCGACCAGGATGATCGAAGGTCAACGAGGGAAGCCGTACAAAGATCGTCTTAGTAGCTTGGGATTATTTTCCTTGGAACGGCGTAGATTGGAAGGGGATTTGTTAGAGACGTTTAAGATCATTAAGGGACTTAGTGGTATTACTCCCACCCATTTGTTTGAGTTGGCTGTCAGACAATCTGCGCGGACATCGCCTGAAGCTCAAACATCATAGAGCTGGTTTGGACATCAGGACAAAGTTTTTTGCGAACCGAGTAGTTAACTTCTGGGATAAACTTCCTTCTGATTTAGTGGAGTCTGAGACTGTAGATGCCTTCAAAAGGAGCTTAGATGATTGTTGGTCTATCCTTTTTCAGAGATATTGTAGTTGTACTGGAATATGTAGTGTATTTTGATGCTGACACATGGAAGTGCAAAGATTGCACTTGTTCTTGCTTCATTCCTTTGCAGAAGCAAAAAGAGACAATCCAGCGTCGAATTGCCTGGGGCCACTTCACTTACCTGCATAAGAACTGGACGCTCGTTAGGCGGAAGCATCTATCGTCCGTTTGACCTGACCTGCAAGTACTACGGGGTAACTCGGAGTTTTTGGCGTGCCATACTGATCGAGCATTTTAGCTGAGATTACGGGGAAAACAGTATTTGAATTAACACTTAAAACGGAATTTGGCTATTTTCATATTTCCTCTGATCTTGGATCGATTAAAGTGGTACTGGCCAAAGCGACTTTGGCGATTACTGTTAATTTTCCCGGTTGTTCCCAGTTTCAATTCCCTTTTGCACCCCGATTTTACCTTTTTTATTGCGGTCGTTTTGCGGTCGTATACATGCTATAATCCTGCTCTGTTTCCCACATGAACATGACTATTTCGATAAACACAGAGACAGGTGGACCCCCTGGGGTCCTCTTTTGAGGAGTCTAGTGCAGCTTGCGGACTGTCTAACCGTTCAGAGCGGGGAACAGATTTATCTGGCGGTATGCAGTGTGGTGTTTGCTGCCGCTGGTATCACGAAAGCTGTACCGGCCTACAAGCAGACCAGTACTATCTTCCAGCGTTGACTCCCTTTTCAACTTGGCTGAATGCTGCGCTCAGAGATCGTGTGCCCGTCTATCACCGATGCTAAACTTCCAGTGCTGACTTCAATCTTGGCAAGTGTTGCAAAGATGATAGCCAAACTCGCCTCTATTGCCTCGCTCAATGCGAAAATGGATTTGATTTAAAGATCCCTGAATATTCCGATTGAGGACACTGCAATAGACGGCAACGTTGCCGACGATCCATCATCTGGGGTTTGTCACTCGGTCAAGAAGTCGCACATCCTACCTTACACTCAAGGTAGTATTGCTGACTATCCTCATGAGCCGGTCAAAGTGAAAAAATAAGGTGCAGAAATACTAGAAACCCTCTGCTAAACCCAGAGAATTAGTTGCCCTGGCATCGAAAATGATGCCCTCTTTGACAGTCGCAAAGTCATCTGGCGGTTGTGCACAGGAGAATATTCTGAAGATGCTGACCGTCTCGACTGTCACTGAACCAGCCTGTTCTGACGAAATGTTGGTAACTGCACAATGCGATACAAGACCAACGGCCCCTACTTCCGTGAGCCAAAAGAAGAGACGCACTAGAGCTGCCGGTAAAACTTCGTAGGGGCTTGGGGACCCAAGAACTAGTAAGACGCCGGCAATAGAGCGGAAAATCTACGCTACCGTTGCTTCGACGTTTGCAAAGACAGGATAGTCCCACCGCCAGCGGTGAAAACAGGCGGTATAAGTGTCGAATCCAAGGCACGTAGGGTAAACACTCCCCGTCGTGCCGACTCTTTCACGGATAGTAGCGTTATATTCCATAACGTTACTGAATCTGCGGCTGCTCTTTCAAGAGAATGCATTTTGGATGACATCAATTGACTCAAACTGTGCGTCAGCAAACAGCTTCCACCTGGCTTACTTGGTGTCACTGTCAGAAAGCTGACCGGATTGGGGAACGTCCCAATTGGTACGCTAAATCCGCGACTCCGACTACTTCGCGTGGTCCTTTCTACCCCGGAGGAACGTAAATCATTACTGCGGTTTATATTCAAGCAAGGGTAGTGGTTTCAGCGTTCAACCGGATCTTCCACTGACAGATAGATTGAAGTTAAAAGATGCTATCAAAAACCTCAAAACTATACGGGCGGATAGTGAGCAAGGCCCCCCTTTCTGGTGGGTTTTCAGGTGGGCAGCCGGAAGTTGTTTTCCGCCTTATCAGAACTCATCCTGATGGCACACGACCCAGGGATAGTCGTGCCGACTTCCTTGAGGTAGTACTTAGCAACGTGCGTAGCCTAAGGAACAAGGTGCACGAATTGGGTCTACTTGTAGACATATCTCGTCCCGACATACTTGCTTTTCACTGAAACGTGGTTGTCTCCGGATATCACGGACGGTGAGGTATGTTTACCTGGCTGCGCGCTGCTTAGAACCGATCGCTCCGTTGGTCGCCAAGACGGAGGCGTACTGTATGTGAGCTGTAACTTAGAGGTGTTGAGGACCTGCACATCTCAGTCGTCGGATCAGACTGTTGAATCTCTATCGGCTGTTTTGTACACTTCCTCTACCCAGTTTACAGTTGCAGTGATATACAAGAGTCCTATAACCTTTTCCAGGGGGATACTTGACTTTATTCCACTCAGTCCGCGAATAAGTGTTAGTTCTAGGGGATTTCAACCTCCCGGAAGTCTGTTGGGCCGATCTTTCTTGCAATTCGGCATCAGGAACATTCGGTACAGACTTTCTTGAGCTGACTCTCCAAATGCCTTTGCACCAGTTCGTGGACTTCCCCACTAGGTATATGGACAACCAAGTACCATCTGCTTTAGATCTGGTTTTTGCTAAGTTTCTCGAATACGCGACTGACGTTTCATACAGTGCACTTCTCGGGTCCAGCGATCACGCATGCATATCCTTTCGATGTGCTCTTTCAAGACACCAACAGACCTCTGTTGAATTACTTCCGAATATTTGGCGGGCGGACTTTAGTGCAATGCGAGCTAAGACTTCAGTTCTGAACTGTGAGGTCTCGATGGCTGACTGTGTTCAGTTAGCGTGATATAAATTTGCGGCATACTTTACGGAAGTTTCCACTTCTTATATTTCACTCATGAGGAACAGAGCGTTACGGGCATAGCCTCCATGGAGAGATACCACAGGCAAGTACCTGCGCAAGAAACGGTCTAGATGATGGCGAACCTACCAAGCAGTTCCATCAGCCAGTACCTATGATAGTTATCGAGGAACTAGAGATAAATGTAAGCAACATCTCAGGACGGTTCGTCTCCAGTACGAGCAGGGTTTAGCGAATTCGGCTGCAGCTAATCCCAAGAAGTTTTTTGCTTACGTTAAAAGATGCACAGGAGCAAAACTGCCTATACAAGCGTTATTGCGAGCAGACGGGACCCGTGCGCAAACTGTCTATGACAAGGCTTGTATACTTAGTGATCAGTATACTGGGGTCTTTGCTCGGGAGACCTCTTTACCAGAGGTTGAGTTGGTTTCAAGTGTTCCAGAGCATTCTTGCTTAGCTGAGTTCAACGTAACAGTGATTCAGGTCTTCGAGCTACTGCAAGGCATTACTCCCTCTAAAGCTTCCGGTCCTGATTCAATTCATCCGAAGCTGTTGCATGAATTGGCCACTGAGCTGTTTGGTCCCCTCACATGCGTGTTTTCAATATCGATTGACAGCTGCATCTTACCTTCGGAATGGAAGGAGGCAATCATCCGTCCGATTTCTAAGGGCGGTGACAACGCTCTGCCCGCGAACTACCGGTCTGTCAGTTTGACAAGCGTAGTAGTCAAGTTGTTTGGAAAGCTGATAAGGGATTCAGTAAAGAACCATTGAATAGATTCAACATTCTCAGTGTTTCTCAACATGGTATCCGCAAGGGATTTTCATCTCAGACTAATCTGCTTGTAGCTCGTGAAAGCTGGACCGAAGCGGTAGACAGTGGCCACGCTATAGACGTGCTATTTGTGGACTTTTCGAATGCTTTTGACACTGTTCCTTATCTTCGACTCTCACTAAAGTTGTGCTCATATGGTGTAGCTGGTCGCGCTCTTCAATGGATGTCTACTTTCCTTGAGCGGAGGGAACAGTGCGTACGGGTGGGATGTAGCCTTTCGCTCAAGCATGCTGTCTTTAGTGGCGTCCCGGAAAGCTTGGTATTGGGGCTATTGTAGTTCGCGAGCTGTGTAAATGACTTGCCGGGAGGGCTAGGGGTGTCATCACTAATGTTTGCTGACGACCTTGAACTCTGGAATATTGTGGATATCCCGGGGGGTCCAGAGGCAATTCGGCATGCCTTGGATAGGCTCTGGAAATGGTCTACCTTATGATTGAAGCCCATAAATAGGGCCAAGCGCTCTGTTCTCTGAATCGGAGCTGTTAATCCTCCCACATGATATGTTGTCGGCGGTGGTGAACTCCTTGTTTTCACTCAACAGGTTGATATAGGGGTCGTACAATCATCAGCACTTCATTCTGGCGACAATTGGAAGAAGACTGCTTATTGGGGGTTCCGTATGATGTGCATTATCCGCCGCTCTTTTGGAATCCTAACGACCAATTTCTTGTGAAGCTATTCTCGGCATTCGTCCGACCCCACCTGGACTATTGTATGCAGGCTTGTCCACCATGTCTTATCCGAGACAAAATGGACTTGGAAAGGATGTTACGAGTGGGCACTCGGTTAGTGCAGGGTCTACGGGGACAGACGTATTCTGAACGCCTGCTCAGTTTGGGGATGTACGCAATGCACTACCGAAGGATAAGAGGGGACTTGATTCTCACTTATCGTATTTTGACGGGTAAGATCAGCCCGGACTTGTCAGGGCTATTTAGTCCCGCTACGTTACCTAATCTCCGCGGTCACCCACTGAAACTGCATAAACCGCGGTCTGATAAGATTAGGACGGAAACTCGTCTGTCGCGCCGAGTTATAGATTACTGGAATTCGCTTCCTAATCAAGTCGTTAGGGAACTTACGGTTAAGGGTTTTGCGCGCCAGCTCGATGCTCTTGGGTGGCAACACCAAACCTTTCCTTTTACCTAACTGACTCACCTTCACTTTCCAGTTCTTTTTTAATGACCCAAATATCTTGGTATTCTACTTGCTTAGCTCTTTCCACTTTCTCTTTTTGCCTTCTGAGTTTGCTTTTTTCTCTTTCTTACTTCACGTAACCGGCCCAGCAGGGACTGCTAGGGTAGGATACGTGGGCACTAATTGGTTGGACAGGATGTGATGCGCTCTTCGTTTTAGGTTCATCAATATTGCACAGTCTGCCAACTGCTGGTTCAACGACCCGCTGAAGAAGGAACACTCACGGGATAATCCCATCGTTCCAATCCCGCCTGAACTTGAACTTGAATCTACGGTTAAGGGGTTTGAGCGGCAACTTGACGCTCTTGGTTGACAACACGAAACCTTTCCCTTTTCTTGAGTAACTCACATTTCCATACCTCGCTTTTCTTTACTTTTCTTCATGCATTAGTATTATTTTCTTATTTCAAGTGCACTTCCTTATTCTGTACATTCGATTTCACTTCCTATCCTCTTCTTACTTCACGTGACTGCAACAGCAGGGACTGCTAGGGCAGGAAACGGCCATTAACCGGTTGGCCAAGGTGCGATACGGATTTTCCGTTTTAGATCCATCAAGAACTCTGCGCACTTCATCAATTCCTGGCTCAACGATCCACTCAAGATGGAACGCTCACAGGATTCTCCCATCGTTCCAATCTCACCCGAACTTGAACTTGGACTGTGGGAAGGGTGTCACTTCACGTTCAAAGGCCGTCCAATGCGCGGTCTGCGACAAATGGATGCATATAATTTGCTGTAACCTTGATAATGGTGTTTACCAATGTCTTCAGCACACCACTGCATTTAAAGGCGTCTACTTTCACTGTGACCCGTGTATAACATTGGTCAGTTGACGAGCAACTTCTGAGGAACCTTTTCAACGTACATACTGCTTCTGAGCGAGCCATCTATCACAGGCCCACTATCATTGCATTTCTAGACATACGTGCCGCTTTTGACTCCGTTGATCGACCTGCTTTATGACGTTGCTTGCTAAAGAAGAGGGTGCCAGAGAAATATACCGCCATCTTACGAGCACTTTACCTTCATACATCCGGCAGTGTAAGGTTCTATGGCAAGCTTTCCTCGCAATTCGCTGTCAATAGCTGTGTGCGTCAGGACTGCCCTATGTCCCCATTCCTGTTCAACTTCGCAATCGAAGACGTTCTGTCGAATGCCCTAGAAGGTTTCCAACATTTTGTCTTAGAACTTCTACCGGGTGAGCGCGCGACCGACTTAGATAATGCTGATGATATCGCCTTACTTGGTGACGATCCTCAGGGTATGCAACTCATTCTGGATCGTTTGGCGGTTGAAGCATCTAAGTATGGCATGAGCTTCGTCCCATCAAAGTGTAAAGTACTGCTCAGGGATTGGCTTTCACCTGCTCCCGTGCTCACTCTCGAAGGTGCACAACTTGAACTGGTAGATAGTCTCGTCTACCTTGGAAGCTGTGTTTCTGCTGACGGCACTATCAACAAAGAAGTTTCTCTTCGTATCGCTAAAGCTCGATCAGCATTTGTCAATCTGAAGCACTTGTGGCGTCGTCGCGACGTCTCATTCTCACTAAAGGGCCACATTTACAGAGCATCAGTTCGCTCAGTATTGTTCTATGGATGCGAGTCCTGGCCGATTCGCGTAGAAGACATGCGTCTTTTCTGCGTTCGATAACGGTTACTTAAGGAGGATCGCTCGTGTTTGGTGGCAACATCGAGTTAATAGTAATGACGTTCGATGTCGCATCTTGGGAAATGCGAGTATCTCCTTCAACAAACTGGTTTTGCTGCGCCAGTTGAGATGGCTCGGTCATGTCCTACGCATGGCACCTGAGCGTCTACCGCGTCGCGCTCTATTCGCTCGTCAAGGACCTGGCTGGAAGCGACCGCATGGTGGTCAGCCTTCCACTTGGCGGCAGCACATGAAATCGCTGACGTCGTGTCTAGCCGCTGTTGGATCCGTACGTCTTCCAAGATGGGGACCCAAAGATGAGGAGTGCCAATGGCTTAGGACTCTTGAAGACATGGCCCGCGACCAGAATCATTGGAAGAATTGTGTACAGCATTGTATTGATCCACATGTTTAATACCACAAACATTAAAAATGACAAAAGAGCAAAATCGGCGTGTGACAAACAAACTAAAAAGGTTCTGTATTTTTTGTCACAAAGTTCCATTCTTCTTGCGGCATATTAGCTGAAGTGTTTTGCTCTCCTTCAACTAGCATGCCACGATGATTATGACGCAATGACTATCTCCTATCCACTGATCTCCATGGCTTTGTTGGCTCTATGTCTAGTTGATGGATTGTTAAGATTACATACATACATAACCGCGTTTGCGCGGTGACTAACCACTTTAGAACAGATACCTTTGGGAATATTCTTTTGATTGACCAGTACGATTAATATACCGGAATCGTGGGAAATGTTGAACTTTTGTCCATGTATGGTTCACTGATGCATTCCTTAGGGTGTGGTCTCCATAACACAGCCAGCACATCGGTTTGCTGCAAAAGGGCTCTCGAGAGATTTGACCCACCAATCTTCTTAATGATGCATAACTCTTACAATCGCCTTCGTCGAACCTACTACCCCAGCTTGGCAACGTTGCTTGAAGCGCGACCTCGAGGTGCTAAAAACACCACAGCACATGACAACAAAGAATGTCAAATGTCTACGCAAGCCATTTTACCAACACAGGCTAAGGGTGCTGGGACTTTTCATTAGACGCTAGTGATAGCTACTAAGAAATCTATTATTAGTTTACCAAAAACCGTGAGACCTCAATGACATATGCCGCCATTTGCTAAATTTAAGCCACAATACCAACCGCAGAGATTATTGCCTTAAAATTTGTGAATCATACGCGTTCTTCGGATTTATCTACTCTAGAACTCCCAAACTTGCCCTTTTTCTCCCCTCCCCTTTATATCTTCAAAAAAGCGCTTGGATACTACTCTTAGCTCCCATCACTTCGTTACATAAACTGCTATTGTGGAACATCCTTGCATTGTTCTCTTATCAGATTTATACATCACATGGGAGCCAAGAAACGGTACATGATAGGGTGTTTCTTTCTTTTCTCACAAAAACTTTAACTGTAACTGCTCCCCACATCGTTTCATATGCTAGCGTTCAATATCTCACGGTTGGTTTAGAGCACCACATTTAAAGGGACAAGCCCCCAACTTGATAGCACACGTATCTTTAAATTTTTTCCACCTTTACGATCCTACGGAACTTGTTAGGCACCTGCTTTTTTATCCAAGATAGATCATTGTACTTTGTTCATTACGATGTAACCAACTTTGATTACTGATGAACACGTTCGGTGCGATCCTTGCCTTAGTTTTTTATGAGATACCGCGCTAGTTATTTGATGTCTTGCGTCAGGAGCAAGTTATTGCTCCATCACCTCAATCAACTCTTTTCACAACTGTACACTCTTTTACTCTGTTAAAAGCTTTCCATAAGTAAATGGTTTTTTTATGTTGCACTCTGACCGATATTTTCCTACCCCCTATCTGATTGTCCACTGAATGACCCTGTTCTATTTGTACAGCTAAAAATATTGGCCTAACTGAATGCCCTTCTTGAAAGGTGGCCGCTTGGCTATAACCAGAACAAAGAAGTATTTAGACTCTGGCCGCATTATTCTCAATGACGCTGTCAAAATAATCGCTATACACCATGTTTCTGACGAAAACATATCGTCAGGCTGCATGGAGTTTATAAAGTGGTTTCTACCGCCACTGCAATTCAAGAACCCAAATGTTCAAGTATTTATTCCTCTATCTTTTATCAGGCGTTTTTCTAGATTTTGACATTCAAGAACATTTGTCCAACTCCTTTCATCCAAGTCTTTATGGAAAACAAGGAGGAGCTAATGGTCGACTGTTCATTCCGAAAGAGCACAGAAATATATGACCATTTAAAGTCCATCTTAAGCAAAACACAGGTGTCAACTGCCACACCGACACCCAATGAAGAATACCTAGACAACCCAGCCAATTTCGGCACGAAGTAAGTTATAAATTCACATACTAACCTATTCAGCTGTTCACGCCAGTGTATTTGTGAGATTTATAGGCAAGTACCCTGTTCGTTCCATGGTGGCCGCCCTCACCCTTGGCCTGGACTTGAACCACAACTTCCTGTTATAGAAGGTCTAACGGACTCCATTGTTGAGCCCGCCTGCAGTCCATCTCGCGCTTAATATCCCTATTCGGAAATATCTGAATTTCATCACCGGAATGCTTACGACGTAGTTTGTTTGCATATCATGTACATACAAGAAAATACATCGATTAACCGCTACCCTTTTTGTCTGTTTTAACCCGTTTTTTGCGGGTAGTAATTGATCTTAACCCTGGCTTTGGTCGATTGGATTGATCACTGTTTTTCTACTATTTAATCGCCTTTGGTTACTAGTTGTCTCTTGTTCCGGTCGGTGATGACTTTGAGCCTTGAGCAGCTGTAACACCCATCACAATCGATTGCTTGCAATGAAGTGAACTTGATCCAATTCTACTCTTAACATTTCGGCTTTGTACAGCTTAATTGCTACGCTCTCCAGTTGATCGCGTTTTCTTGTGCTGGGTGTATCAACTCCTTGATATATGACTGTCATCGTTTGTTACACTTAAATGTTGCCGAAAACCTAACTTCTACCGCAGCGTTTTTCGCCATGGCGAAACATTTTTCCCGCGATCATAATCGAAAATTCTTAGAAACTTCTGCGTCGATGGCATAAATTTCCGTGATTTCACGGCCAAGACTAAAATAAACAGAAATCGAGGCACACACCCACTATATTGAGGTCAGTCATGATACAAAACAGTGGAATTAAAATAAAACCCAAAAAGGTACTTCGTGCTATTGTCTGTAAGGTTGTGACGCTTGCCAGACAACATTTTTAGGCACTGAAGCTCCGTTCAGCGTCTGCCGAATTCACAGAAATGTATAGATGATGACCGTCAGTCTACCAGTTTTGGAGTCTTTTCATTCATCATGCGCCAGAAACCCAGCGTGTCTTCAAACTTTTCTCCATGCAATTTTTCCGCCATTTTTAGATACACAAACCATTCGGCTGCCAGAGCTGGGGAGCCAACGAAGCCTGGAACGTCAGTATAGCTGCATGGATCCTTGGACAAAATGATGAGCTGGTTAGGGTCGAGAAGTCTAATGGCTTTCAAAAACTGCCATCTGGCCTGGGATATCAGCAACTCCTGGGCTTTTATGGCAGGTCGGGAGAAGCAGAATTAAATGTCGGTTTGACTTTTGCTAGATGCGTCAAAGGTCAATCTCTCTGCTTGCAGATGCCGCAGCCAGTTTTTCACAGTGGCACTTTTCTGCGACATGAATAAAGCGAAGAGGTCGTAGTAAATCTTATAAGTTACCGGAGACTGTGATTCGGCAGTTTCTAACTGACGGATGTTCTTACCAACGGTCGCAATGCAACTCAGTTGGTTACTTCAAATCTTTATGTGTTGTTTTCTTGGTTAGGATATACACAAGTTCACAAACACAGCTGTCTCCAAACTCATGTTGTATAGCTCGAAACATGTCTGAGTAATGATAGAAATGTTTGCTGTGATGTGCGACAGCTTCCAGCCAAGAGTTCCAGCGGGTGATGACCTTTGCAGATGTGCCGGTCTGGTTGTCAAGTCTTTCTAAGTCCACTACTCAATATGGACACGCCTCTTTCTTCCCAAAAGACGAAAAACACTTCATTTTTGCAACGAATCCGTCGACTTTCGGAGTGAATTTGCGAGTGCTCTCTTTAACCAACTTGCTGCAATGGGCAATACATTTACTGTGAGCTAAATCCTAACCAGCAGGCTTAATGACATCTCAGTAGCATGCTGTCATGTGTTTTGCGCCGTCGGACACGAGAGCCGTCACATAAATAAACTCTACACCCACAATTAGCAAGCTGCGCAGAATGTCTCCAACTGTTGCAGAATAAGCTCTCCATATTGCCCGTGTCGATGAGGTATGCTCGCTTCCTCGTCGAACTTCAATGCAGAACATAACAGAATATGCAGTTCCATCTCATGATCATCAGTTGTCTCGTCTATTATGACGCTTACAAAGGTATCACGGAATATCTCATTCAATATCTGTGTTTCCCTTAGAGCTGGTGAATTTTCAGAGGTGCGTTCGATCCGGCAATACTTCCGTTATTTCATATTCGTCTGTGAAGAAATTCCCTCGACTGGGAATTGTCGGCTTTCTCTAGAAGAATATTCGCAGATACTATAGTAAGTTGAAAGTCAGAAACAACTGTCACGGGCTTCTTGGGAACTAACCATGCTTGTCTGTCGAACATTCTTTGGTATTGATTCACCCCTGGAAACAAGTTTAGCCGATTACTCCTCTTTGTGAGCTTTCTTCTGGAGATACTTCTGGCCGCGAACGTAGTCAACCACGGTTGATTTTCGAGACGGATCCACAGTCAATTAACACGATGGACAAAACCGTAATCTTTTATCCATGTTATTAACTCAGTACGCTCCAGAAAACTCCTTCACTCTGTCCAAAGCATTTCCCCCCAAATGCTATTTCCTTTTCTGCAATAACGTCTTCGTAAGATAAAAGCTGATTATTTGTAAGCGACAGATTCGCTTGGTTCTCAAGTAACGCGTAGAAATACCGGGTCAAACCAAAATAAAACCGAAACTGAACTACGGTACTATTCAAAAGACCATGAAAATTCAATGATGACTAACCTCAGCAGTAACTGCTCAGTATTGAAACTACAGCGTCTTCAGGAAGTACTCAAAACGGGTACAAAAAGCCGTTCTTGCCACTGTACTGACAGGTCACGACAGCTTCAGTCGGTCGTCGAATTCACACGGCCGCTTATATTGGGCCACCAAGCCCAATGCAATAACGTGGTCTCCGTTCAACGCCTAAGAGCCGGCAGTGCATCAACTTTGCGAGTGACCTTGATGGGGGGCTTGTGCGCCGGCAAGGTGTATGCAAATGGTTTGAACGAACTGATTTAGTGCATATGTAATGTATATGTAGGCATAGGGTGTTCGTATAGTGGGTAATAGAGTGAGTGCACAGCGTGAGCAGACAAATGGGACATGGCTGCGTAATGGATAGATGCATGGGTGACACTGGAGTCAGGATAAAACCGCGGCCGCAGCTTTGAATGGGTAGACAAGAAGATTTAGGTAGCAGATGGAGCCTATAATACTGCAAAATAATGTTCCGGTAGCCAGCTGGCTGATTTTATATTTCTTCCGTTTACAAATATATTGATTACAACAAAAACTAACTCAAAGTGGCCTTTATGAATTTCTTATTTTTTCCGCAATTTCGCGAAAGTTTTCCTTTTCCTCAACAGTTATTAACTTCCGAGATTTTTCTACGTTCCGCGGAATCACTTGAAACTGAGGTCTTTACTCATAGTGTATTTTATCACCCACTTAAAAACATGCTCCGTTGCCTTGTGGACAAGCTATTTGGCCAAAGGCTCGGGGTGGTGTCCCCTAAGACATCTCCCTGCTTCGGTTTGGGCAACCGGGTAGTATTATGCCTACTCATAAAGCTTTGGATTGTTCATCTGCTATATCGCGCTCAGTTGCTTTTGCTTCCGCTACTCATACACGTTCATACGTCGCTTGTTCATTTATTCCAACCATTGGTATCCGTTACCAGCTGCAGCTACTAATAGACAAGCGAGCGATCAACCGACGTAAGCTATGCCAATGACATTGCCCTACTTGTTGACGGCTCACGGAGTATGCAAACCATTCTGATCGGTTTAACGATTGAGGCATTTAAGTACAGAATGTGCTTCGCCCCGCCGAAATGCAGTGCTGCTCCAGGATTAGCACTCGCTCGTTCGCATGCGCAATTTTGAAGCTGCACTGCTTTAAGACGTTGATAGCTTTGGATACCTGGGCAGCTGTATATCTGCTGGTAATACCATTGAGATGGATGTTTCCCTCCGCATCGCCAAAGCTCGTTCGACGTTTGTCAACCTGCAACACTTGTGACGCCGTCGGTATGTCTTCCTCTCGGTAAAGGGTCGCGTTTACAATGGCACCGTTTGGGCGGTGTTGCTATACTTAAATAAATGTTTATTCTCGAACGATCGAATTATTGCGTAGAAGCGAGTCGTGACCGGTTCGCGTGGATACATGCGCCGGCTCTCTGTCTTCGATAATGGGTGCTTGAAAGGGAATTCCTCGTGTGTGTTCACAGCAACACATCTGTATCGGTGAAGTCAGCGTCGCGTCTTAGGGAATGCGTACACCCTGCAACAGGCTGGTTTTGCTGCACCACTTAAGATGGCTCGATCACGTCCTGTGTATGTCAACCGAGTCTGCCCCATTACACCCTTTTCGCTCATGCAGGACTTGGCTGGAAGAAACCACGGGTGACCAAACGTCCACCTGCAGACAGAATATGAAATCTTTGACTTCACCTCTTGATGCCGTTGGATCCACTCGTCTGCCTGGTTGGGGACCAAAGAACGAGGAGTGCCGATCTTGGAAACAACTCAGCATATGGCACACAATCGAAACCAGTGGAGGGCCTATGTACCTCATTGTTTAGCTCCAATCGAAAGCTAATGGGTGTTACTCACCTTCAACTGATGTGCCATGATGATACTGCGGTGATTCAACCTGTCTTTTTCCTATGATTGCCATGGCTTTGTTTGGCCCTACATCTATCTGTAAGACTGGCTAATACTACTGCTGTTACTTAAAAACATTGATTGTCCATCGGTTGCTTGTCAGAATATACGGTAAATGTCTAATCTGAATACCGTCTCCAAAATGCTTAATTGTTGCGCACCTTTAGTGTAACAAATATAACTTTGTTTGCTCTTTTAACATTTCTATTGAATGGTTGGTAACTTACTTGCTACCCTATAAATTCACTCATCCAGTTAACTAGTAGCAAATTAGAATCTTTTAGGGTTTTTCTTCTCTAAGAACCGTAGACCTCATGTTATCTCTGCCTTCTTACCAGGCTTTTGACCCAGGATTTCGGCTTGCATCCTTAGATAAGTTCTTGACTTGCTGCGTGCATACATACATGCATTACACGTTAACTGCAGGCGAGAAACAAATTTTCCGCCAATATACCGCAATACAGAAAGATAAGACACACGAAGAGCAAGGTACTAAACATTGCAGAATGCATTATTAAAAAAACAATGAAGCAATATGATGCTCAGCACCATATTACGGAGCACGTATCAGAACGTGGTTGGAGGTAGACGATAAGCGGGAAGGGGTGGGTCAAAGAAACTCAACACGAATGGCGGCTCTTCGTCATGTTAACAAGTGTATTCAACCACACGTGTTAAGACCCCAGCCCGGCAGTCGGGATACACCAACGGACACCAACTTCAAACTGAGGGTTTTCATTCGTCTTGACCAAGTCGTCACTTG